CCTGCAGGGACAGCGCAGCTCATACACAGAGGAAAGGAGTAATCGATGGGAACTTTGTGCACTGAGATGCGGCCACCTCTGAGATGTGGCAGCTGGTTAACAGCCACACAGACCTGCTCTGGCCCAGGGCGGCGGAGGGGGGGGGACACACTTACATCCTGATTGGACATGTCCCAGTAGGGCCGCTCCCCAAACGACATCACCTCCCACATGACAATGCCGTAGCTCCAGGCGTCGCTGGCCGAGGTGAACTTGCGGAAGGCGATGGCCTCAGGGGCTGTCCAGCGAATGGGGATCTTCCCGCCCTGGGGATGAGGAGTGTGAAACGCTCACAGCACCCAGCTCCCAGTTCCAATTCCCTCAGCCCCCACTCTCTTCCCAGAGCCAGGGAGAGAACCCAGGCATCCTCCTTCCCTCCGCCCATCCTACATGCAGGCCCTACCAGGGAGCTGGTGTAGGTGGGGTCAGAGGAGTTCTCCTCCAGGAAGCGGGACAGGCCGAAGTCGGAGACCTTGCAGACCAGGTTGCAGTTGACCAGGATGTTGCGGGCGGCCAGATCCCGGTGAACGTAACTCATCTCGGCCAGGTAGCGCATTCCGGAGGCAATGCCGCGCAGCATGCCCACCAGCTGGATAGGCGTGAACTGCCCCTCATTCAGCTGGGGGGAGATGGAGCAGGGTCAGTACAGGCGCAGGGCTCCAGGGCTTGGGGGTGGGGAAAATAGGCAGGGGTGTGGTCCCAATAAGTAGGATCTGGGCTCTGATGGGTGGTGGCAGGGCCTTAGTGGGTGGGGTCTAGGTCAGAGGTGATGGGGTGGGGGTACAAGGCCACATGTGGGGCACTTCTTTGCAGGGGAGAGGATACAGCATGCAGGGGCTTTTGGATCTTCCTCCATATTTCAGGACCCCATTCCCCATGTCTGGGGTGGTTTGGGGTTGACTGGCAATTTTGGGGTCCCTCCTCCTGTATTTGGGATCCTCTGTACCCGAAGGGTCTTATTCTCCAAGAGTGGGATGGTTTTGGGGTGTTAGGGGTTTGGGACCCTGTACCCTGAGAAAGGAGTCCAGGGCTCCGTTCTCCATGAACTCGGTGAGGATCATGACCGGGGTGCTGCTGGTCACCACTCCCTCCAGCCGGATGATGTTGGGGTGCTCAAACTGCCCCATGATGCTGGCCTCGCTGAGGAATTCCCGGCGCTGGCGCTCCGTGTAGCCCCCCTTCAGTGTCTTGATGGCCACACAACCCTCTTTCTTCCCAGGCACCTTAAGCCGGCCCCGGCACACCTCCCCAAACTCTCCTGCAGAGAGAAGGCACGGGGTGAGAAAAAAAGAAAGAAAGATGTCAAACAAACAGGGAGAAGGAGTGAAAGAAAGGAGTCGATTGAGAAAAGTGGAAGAGAATGACAAGGGACAAATGAAGCAGAAAAAGAAAGAATATGGGAAGAAGGAGGGAATGAAGCAATAAATCAAGAGAGAAATGGAGGAACAAAACAATGTGAAAGTGAATGCTACAAAGGGAAAGGAATGAGACAGAGAGGAAGAATGAGCCAGGGAGAATGAGGGAAGGAAACAGATTGGAAGAGAATGATATATGGAAAAAGGGGGACCGAGATGGGGAGAAAGAACGAGTGAACCAAGAAAGGGAATGAAGGAATGAGATGAGGCAGAGAAAAAGGGGGACCGGAATGAAAGAAAAGAACAAGCTGGGGAGAAGGAGGGAACAAAATGAATCGAGAAAGGAAAAGGGGGGACAAAACAGAGGCTATGTCTAGACTGCAGGCTTCTTTCGAAAGAGGCTCTTTCGAAAGAGCCTCTTTCAAAAGATCGCGTCTAGACTGCAGGCGGATCTTTCGAAAGAGAAATCCGCTTTTTCGAAAGAGAGCACCCAGCGAGTCTGGATGCTCTCTTTCGAAGACGGCCTCTTTACATTGAAGAACGCCTTCTTTCGAAAGAGGAACTTTCGAAGGAAGGCGTTCTTCCTCGTGAAACGAGGTTTACCGCCATCGAAAGAAAAGCCGCGTTCTTTCGAAATAATTTCGAAAGAACGCGGCTTGAGTCTGGACGCAGGGGAAGTTTTTTCGGGAAAAGGCTACTTTTCCCGAAAAAACCCCTGAGTCTGGACATGGCCAGAGTGAAAGAGGAGGGCTATGTCTACACCGCCTCTTTTTTGCGGAAGAGGCAATGCAAATGAAGCGCTCATTAGCAAGTTCTTGTGCTTCATTTGCATATTCTCTTCTGATGCTTTTTGCGGAAGAGGTTTTTGCGCAAAAAAAAGCAATGTGGACAGGTCCATTTTGCGCAAAAAAAGCCTTTCGCACAAGAACCTGTAAACTTCATTTTTTGAGGGATAAGGGATCCTGCACAAAAGGGTTTTTCTGAGCAAAACAGACCTGTCTACACTGCTTTTTTTTGCGCAAAAACCTCTTCCGCAAAAAGCATCAGAAGAGAATATGCAAATGAAGCACAAGAAGTTGCTAATGAACGCTTCATTTGCATTGTCTCTGCCTCAAAAAAGAGGCAGTGTAGACATAGCAGAGGTAGACATAGCAGAGGTTACAGAAAGAAAGGGAAAGGGAACAAAATAGAGAGCAAGCGGGAACAGGTCAGGGAGGAGGGAACAAAGCAATGCACGGAGAGGGGAAAGGAGGCAGGAGATTGGGGAATGGGGGAAGAGGGTGTAATAAAACGGGGGCCCAGGCCATGAAGGGCAAAGGGAACAAACTGGAGTGAGGGTCCAAGCAGAAAATAAAGAAAATAAAGTAAAAAACCCAAAAGAGAGAAAGAGGAAAGACAGGAATGAAAATGAGAGTCAGCAGTGAATGGTGATTTTGGGGGGAATAGGAAGGGGCTGTGGCTTTCAGGATGCTGAATTCAAGGGGGCATCCCTCACTCTACAACTAGATAGGTAGGGATGCCAGGCAGGGTGTGGAGGATGGGGGTAGGGGCACTGTAGGCTGGGGGATCAGTGAATTTGAAGGTTTGGGGGATCCAGGACTTGGGGGGGTTCAGGTTTGGGAACCAGTTGAGGAATGTGGGAATTACAGGGGCTCGTTCAGTGTCACAAGGGAGTTTGGGGATTGATTCAGGGGTTTGGGGCTCAGGAAGAGTTTGGGGGATAGAGGTTGAGGGCATGGAAGGAGTTTGGGGGACTCAGAGGCAGGTTCTGGGGTTCATGAGCATAGGGGAAGTTCGCAGGCTTAGAGAGGAGGTTTGGGAGATGGTTTGGTATGGCAGGAGTTTGGGAGGTTCTGAGATAGGTTTGGAGTCATGAGGAAAGTTCAGGGGGTTCAGATATGGGTATGGGGGTTCAGTGGTTGGTTCAGGAGCACAGAGGGAGTTTCGGGGCTCAGAGGGGGGTTTGGGAGCCAGTTTGAAGGAGTGGGGGAATTTGGAGAGCTCAGAGGCAGGTTCAGAGGGGATTCAGGGGCCAGTCTGGGGGCATTGGAGGAGCTCATGGGACTCAGAGGCAGGTTTTGGGGTTCAAGGCTCACCAGCTCCAATCACCTCCTCGATCTTGACACAGGAGACATCGATCTCCTTGGCAAA